TGCCGTTTTTATCTTATCGATATATTTCAATTTTTTGCTATATATCGATATATATCTATATAAAAAATTTTCTGATGATAACACGAATAGTTCAAAGAAATACATTCAATTCACAACTACTAGGGTTTTGTTGTGAAGTAAATGAAATTTCTGGTGATTTGTCAGACAATCCAACTCATGCAATAAACTCAATTTGCGACAAACTTTTTGCTGAAGATAAAAAAAATACTCGATACTCAAGACCACAAATTATAGGCTTTGACGATCAAAAAATTCTTAGTGAATTAATATCTGATATTTCTTTTCAACTATTTAATATTTTTATTACTAAGCTTAGTGCTATAATTCATTCAATAGGTATATCTTTAAATGAAAATTGGAATTATATGGGTGAAGGATATTCAATTTCTATATTATATAATTATAAAAAAGAAAGAGTATTATTTTATTATGGTTTTAAAGAACATTGTACTTTTATCGAAATTTATAGAGCATATGAACTTGATTTTAGCTATTATAGAAGAGATCCTGATGATATGTAGTCTCAAACAAGATTATTGAAAGCAATTAGTAGTGTTACTTTATTTGGATTAAATAATATAGACATTCAAATAATTTAAAAAAAAACACAAGAATTAGTTTGTGAATAGCATAATTATGAGAAATTAGAAAAATTATACAACCATCATCTATGTAGACGTATTTTACACCAAATTAATTAGTTTATTTTTTTTCAAAAATGGCAAGAAAATGATAACATTATTGAATTACATCAAAGTTTAGGTGAAATTTATCCAAAAAATTATGAAATATCTAACTAATCAAGAATTAAGAGCATAGCATGCGATGTTAAATGCAAATATTACTCCGTTTACCCATCAAGAATCAAAGGTTAGAAAGTTCTAACTATAAAATATATAATTTCAAATGTAAACTGTAAATTATATTTTCATGTATTTAATAGTTTTTATTTATAAAATAAAAGCTATCAATATATATATATAAATACTAATAAGACTTTGAGCCTTCAAATTTATCATTGATTATTTATTAGGTTCAGCTTATAGAAATCTAATTAGTGATATGTAATTACATATAATATAAGGCTGAATCTGATAAATAAGAAATGATAAAATTAAATACACAATGTTGCAAATGGCATTTATATAATTTAAAGACTCAAATTAATCATTTAAATAAATCTATATTACTAATATACATAATATTAATTAGTATGAATTTTGGAGCAAGTCGCAAGACTTTACAAAAGAAAAAAATTTACTTGACCTATTATATAAAACTGGATTTTTGTGTTCAATTCCTTCAATCATACCAAATTTAACTGAAATATTTTAGAACTGCTTTAAGCAATCTCTAGATAATAATAAAGAGGGTTGGATAGAAAGCAAAGAATATTATTAATAATTATAGCACTTCAAGTAAAACTTATCTTTTTTTTTGTAAATAATTATCTGATAAAATAGTTTTTTTTAAATAGTATTAGTTATTAATCTTAGATCTCACCTAATACTATTAATACTGCTAAAATGTATGCAAGAATTAATAGCTATGAATGTCCTGTGGCTCTGAAACCACCTATGGTAAAACAAATTATGTCAAAAGAGTATGAAAAACAATTTAAATTTTTTTTTAGATAAAAACAATATGAACATGAGTTCTTATAAAACTGATATTAAAACTGGCTTATCTGTTCTTTATTTGAATGATCAAAAAGAAGCATTATAGAACCAATTTCATCAACAATATCCAGATAGCATAAAAAGAACTACATTTTTGAAGCAATTAAAAAATGGTCTATTTATTTATAAAGATAATTTAGGCAGGCTTTGCTCAATTTGTAGTCAGTATGGATATGATGTATTTTTTGATCTAACAAATCTAGTTCGCAAAGAAGTTGATAATATAGAATAGCAAGTAAATAATTTTATTAATCATAATATATATATTGATTTATTCTTTTTTAAACAAAATTAGACTTACTTTATATCGGAATTAGAAAATCAAAAACATTACCTAAAACTTCAATATTGTCAACATTTAAAAGTAAATTATGATGGTACTACACAACATGATACATGTATTAATTATTATTTACCATTTGTGTTCGGAGAATATAACAAAGTTCACATGTTAGAATGTAAGGAATGTTCATGAATCTTTGGCCTTTTTGGAGAATTACATAATGTAATCTCTAAAACAGAATCAGAAAGTTTAAATGAATTACAAAATCAATTAGAATACTATATTTTACATATGCTAATTTAATGCAACTTAGTTCAAATGGTGCTTTAATAGTTGTAGATTACAAAATGCGTGTCTTACCAAAACATGCTTGTGAAACAAAGCAAGATTTTTTTGAGAAGCGAGGATAGGCATACTGTTCTTGTATTTACTAAACCTGCAAATTCAATTGATATAAATATTCATGCTTTCGATTATTGGTCTGCTGATGTCAAACAAGATGCCTGGTTTACTGCTTCTTCGCTTGATGCAGTTTTTAATTCTCTTGAACAAAAACCTGAATGGATTATTGTTATGTCAGATAATAGTCCCCATTATCACAACTCAGAGCTAATAGTAATAATATCTTATTGGAAAGAATGGTATAATATTGAGTGTGAAAAATGGGTATTTTTTGAAGCAGAAGAAGCTAAGACATCAATAGATTCTCACTATGCCCAGGTATTATAATTCTATTATTATAATTACTGTTACAATATTCTAATTTTAGAAATATATAGATTTCCCATTATATAAAACGATATGTATGTCTTGGTTTTGATGAAGACAATATGAAACCTTAGTGGAACTTCAACTGCGCATATTCAGCCTAATCGTAAAAATAGAAAAAAAAATAACATAAAAACTATTTTAGAAATATCTAATTACTTTGAATGGAGTTGGCCAATTGAGAAGCCACATGCAGGATTTATATGCCCACATCCATTATCTGGTTTTGGAAAACCAAATTATATTTCACTTGCTCAAATCTACAAACTACTTAAATCAGATATTGAACAACTGCAACCTGAATATTCAAATTATATGATACCTTAAGAGATCTGAACAATGCCTATTTGCCATTTGTCTAGTAATTATACAGGTAGGAACGTCCCAAATAAGGAAAACCTGAGTTGACTCAGGACCGACGATCATGCGTATTGGTTAGCCAATCAAAATTGCGAAGTTGTGAAATTGTAAAATGATTCAATAATTACAGAATTACACGTATACGTATTATTGCAAAAAAAAAAATTCGATTTCTAAACTTTACTAAATTCCTTATGTTTTTACTTTGAAATTTCATGATTCTATCAGTAATAAACAAATTAGTTTTCCATGTAATAATTCTTATAATAGTAAATTTTATTGGGCTAGAAAAGAAACAAAATTAAATATTACACAATGAACTTCCATTTTATCCTGAGAATGTATTCCGATGGTTAAAGAGATTTAAAAACAGTAGAATTAAGTTCTTTACAACATGATGAATATGTAAATTATATGTTACAAAATTATGAATCTTCAACTTTTATTTCTGCAAAAAAATGTCAAAGAAATCGGCAATCAGAAATCATCGATTTCTTTTTTTTTGATCAAATTTCATATTTTTTTTTGCAAGCCGCAATAAATAATTATAAATATTTTAAGTATTTCATATACAATTTATTATTTAATAAAATATATGTAATTTATTTATTAAAAATACATTATTTATTTAAGAAAATATATATTTAATAAAAAAAATCTACATTATAATTCAAAAAAGTTTTTTTTTTGCTTGTTCTAACAAATTATCCATCGCTGCTATGTTACCTATCGCATCTTCAGCATCAGAATCATCTTCGTCTGCACCTTCAACATTCTCATCCATAAATTCTTTTTCACCTAAATCCTTCATCATACTTACTTTAATTGCTTCAACATTAATTTTGATTGCATCCTGTAGATAGCCTAAACATATCAGGCACTTAAAGTTACATCTTTGTAAGCAACGGCTATGATATCCGTGCCCACATGCAAGAACGTTACCATCATTCGTGCAGTTAGTATAATTAGTACAATCGCAGTACAAATAATCACACAAAACATTAGTAAATAGTTTTCTGGAAGTAACGAAGCCTCTCGGAAGATGGCAATCAGTTATTTCATATCCTAATGATGGCAACTTATAGGAGTTAATACCATCATCAGACAAATCAATAGTCAAAGGATACAGATGGTGTGCTTTATAGATTTTTGTAAAAATCTCTAAAAGCAACACAGCACACTTTCGGGACAGTATATGCAATTGCTTCGGTTTATACGGATACTTCATGGAATTCACAAAACATTGGCGGAAGGTATTATCGTCTCGATTCTGAAATATAAATCGCGCCTCCTTCTGCAATTGACTTGCTGTAAAAAACTTGGCCGTACGTTGTCGAATGATACTATGGACGGTTTCTACAGGACAATCGCTTAGAGATGCGAGATAATTAGTAACAATATTCATCATTGGATGATTAGTTTTCATCCAAAAAAAAAATGTTAGAAAAAAACATTAAGGGGAACACTTATAATTTCTTCGCACCAGCAACGCATACAAGCTTCTTCGTATGCTAGCCAGTTTCCTTCTCGATGATGAGCCGCGTAAACGTTGAGAACTAAAGGAATTAAGTTATCTAAAAGATCAGTTAGATATAAAAATTCCAAATTTTTAAACGAATGACTAAATTTCGAATAATTAAAAACGAGTTCACAACTATTTAATGATACGTGGAGAGGGCCCATAATAGGCACAAATGATGTAACGAATAGAGGAATGACTTCATTGTTAAGAAGAAGTCAATGTGCAATAGCCTTACAAATAAAAAATTGACCAGGCCAATTTGCAACGATGGGAATTATGTGGTTGGAAAGGTACTCTTGCATTAAATCTTGATTATACACAACTCAAAGTGCATTTGTATAATCCTCTACATTTTTCAAATTGCCTTCGACAAAATCAAAGAGAATCATATTCTGAATATGCCGATCGCCTTTTTTTTCCACTAACCTATCATTGTAACTGTGTAATGTTAGCCTCTCTATAACCTCATTGTCAGAGCACTTACCTGTACAGCCCAGTCTATACTCGCTATAAGGAATGCCAAGGTTTATGATGAACCACTCATCAAGATGCTTCATAATTAGCTTATCGTCAATAATTTTTGGGTTGAGTGCTCCATTATGTGGTATTGCTGATATGGGACACAGATTTGCAATGATAGTTGCCATGTGTTCTGGACGAGATGTACTAGTAGAGTCTGACTGCCGTGAAACGTGGATATTGTGATAATCATCAACATTCAACACGAAAGCATTGGCTGGATATTTTAAAAGAGAATTTTCCACATATTTCTCATAGACATCAGAAACCTTTTTCTTTTTTTGATCCACTGCTCTTGATGTTGTAGTTACACCAAGATTTGCCAACATATCTAAGCCTTCATTACTTGTACCTACAGAATCCAAATAAAATGCTACATTGAACTTAAAAGAATTAATTTTCATATTATTTAACGACACAAGAAGATAACAAATGTGAACAATTAACTTTTTCATACGATCCATGGTTTTCTCAACATGCTCAAGAGGCTTCGCTACTAAATAAAGCTGATCAAGAAAATTGTTAAGATTCTTATTTGCTTGAAATACTTTCCTTAGTTCATTGTACGAATATATGGGACCTTCTTTCTTTATATGTTCTCTCTTATAGAAGACTCTTGCCATGGTCTCAATAGTCCCAACGAGATAAATCATTCTACTACATCTTGATTTGGAACTTCTACATCTATAACTTCTATATTCCTATCTATATCTTCTACTTCTTCAACAGAAACTTTTACACACTTAGTACTTTTTTTAAGCCTTTGTAACGGGTTTTCGACTAAATTCATATAACACAAGTTACATAAAATATTACCCTCTTCCCACGTTACCTTTGTTAATTCATTTGCTTCAGCCTGCTTCCATTTTTCGTTCTTCAACAGACAGAATCTACTAGATTTAGTGGCTCCGCATTCCTTACAGTTAGTAATTTCAGACATAACATTGTTAAGTAGATAAAATATGAACGCTGTTGGATTAAGTTGGATTAAGCAAATATGTTATACGGCTAAGCAAAGGCTACAAGTTTACTTAGTGCACTTGCCCCTCTTCACTTGTGAGTTAAGCCACCCGAGCTTCCGAAAAAAGTATTGTAAAACGTATAAAAAAAATCTTTGAATAATTGTGTAATGATCTACAGGATTGGGGCACTCGGGACGTTCTTACCTCGATAGTAATTAAGATAGATTTATATTAAATTTTTTTTTTTTTTAAACGGTACCTGCTTTATTATCTTCAGTAGTTAAGTGTCTCTTTTTATTGAGACGTACAAGGTTTTATCAGTACAGAAACTTCTAGA